GCAAGCGCCAGGATTTGTGGGGTCGGAATAACGGAGTTATTGCTTGGCACAAATCCGCCAGCGATGGTGGCGACCTCGGAGCCGTGCGAGGCGAGTGCGAGCGCCAGGATTTGTGGGGCCTCGTTTGGGCCTGTCGGGGTCCTCTAGGGGCTTCTTCGGGGCCTCTTGGGGCCTCTTCGGCGCCTCTTGGCGCCTCCTGGGGGCCTCTTGGAGCGGAAATCTTGTTTTTTCGGTTCGAACTCCCTCGCTTGGGCCCTTTTTGGGGCCGGCTTGGGGCTTTCTAGGGCCGTCTTCGGCTCTTCTCGGGCCGTCGTCTTGGGGCGCTCTTCGGCCGTCTTGCTGCGCTCTCGGAGGCGTTTTGGCCGTCGTAGGGTGGTTTTGGGGGCTTCTGGAGCCGTCTTGGAGCGTCCGAAAATTCGTACCGAGGACCCCCACATACTTATAGTATGGCTGGAGTGATGATAGCTGAAGTGAAGCATGTGAGAATGATGTTGGTGGCCATCCCCTGCGAACCCCCTATGGTGTCGAGAAGGTGCCACGCCTGTTGCGCCCTGGACGACCGGCTCGGATAGCGGCCGCGCTCAGAGACCACCACCTGCGGACCCCCTAAGGTTACGAGAGTTTGCCACGCCTGCTCTGCCAGCGTTCTCCTGTGCCCTGAGCATGACCGGCACGGATAGCAAGCTTGCGTACCGATGTGCCCTCAGCACCACCGTCACGGATAGAGGCCGCGCCTGCAACGCATAGAGACCACCGCCTCTATGCACCCCCCTTGGTGTCGAGGAAAGTGCTACGCCTGCCGTGCCCTGCGAGCCTGCCCCCAGCGCACCCGCTGTGGTGTCAAGAAAGTGCATCGCCTGCCGTGCCCTGCGCGCCTGCAGCGCACAGAGACCGAACCCCCGATGCACCACCTCTGGTGTCGAGAGAATGACGCGCCTGCTGCACCGTGCGAGCCTGCAGCGGATAGAGACCACACCCCTCCGCGCCCCCTCTGTTATCGAGGCGTTGCCACGCCTGCTGCGCCCTGCACGCCTGAAACGCATAGAGGCCGCACCTTCTGCGCACACCCTCAGGCGTCGAGAACATGCTGCGCCCGCCGTACCTGACGCGCCGGCAATTCATAGAGACCGCACCCCCTGTGCACCCCCTCCGGTCGAGAAATTCGCACGCCTGCCGTGCCCTGCTGCTCGCCTGCAACGCATAGAGACCGCATCCCCTGCGCACCTTCCTGGTGTCGACAAAGTGTCACGCCTGCCGTGCCTTCCGCGCCTGCAACGCATAGAGACCGCAACCCAAGTTCACCCCCATCTGGAGTCGCTCGCGGGCCCTCTGCGCCTGCAGCGCATAGAGACCGCCCCCCCTGCGCACCCTCCTGGTGTCGAGAAAACGCCGCGCCTGCCGTGCCCTCCGCGCCTGCAACGCATAGAAACCGTTCCCCCCCCCCCACATCGCCTCTGTTATCGAGACATTGCCACTTTTGCCGCGCCCTGTGCGCCTGCAACGTATAGAAACCACACATCCTGCGCACACCCTCGGGCGTCGAAAATGTACCACGCCCGCCGTGCCTTGCGCGACTGCAATGCATAGAGACCGATCCCCCCCGCGCACCCCATCTGGTGTAGAGAATTCCAACGCCTGCCGTGCGCTGCGCGCCTGCAGCGCATAGAGACCGCACCCCCTGCGCACCTTCGTGGCGTCAAGAAAGTACCGCGCCTGCCGCGCCCTGCGTGCCTGCAGCGCATAGAGACCGCACCCCCACTGCACCCCCTCTGGTGTCGCTGCCGTGCCCTGCGCGCCTGCAACGCATTGAGACCGCACCCCCTGCGCACCCTCCTGGTGCCGAGAAAGTGCCGCGCCTGCCGTGCCCTGCGCGCGTGGAACGCATAGAGACCGCACCCCCGGGGACCCCCTGTCCATTCCGCTGGTGTCGAGAAAGTGACACGCCTGCTGCGCGGTGCGAACATGCAACGAATAGAGACCGCCCCCCCCGCGCGCCCCCCTCTGTTATCGAGACATTGCCACACCTGCCGCCGTTGTGCTCAGCTGCGTATCTGTACTGAGCTGAACTGTGCTTGCCCACGCGCACACGTACATGCAAGCCCACACACCGTGCACGTGGTGTGCTGAGTTGTGCTGAGCTGCGCTGTGAGCTGTGCCGTGGAGGAGGGCAGGAAGGGGGAAGGAGGGAGGTGTGAGGGAGGAGGCGCAGGTGCGACGCGGCAGGGAAGAATACCATAACCCCACGAAACATGTGAAGAATACCAGAGCCAGCGAGAACGCCCAAATCTGTCAAAAACTTGAGGGAAATTTACTCTTTGTGAGACCTCTTGGAGGCCTCAGGGGGCGTCTTGGAGGCCTCTTGGGCCATCGTGACGCCATCTTGGGTGTCCTGGAGCGATCTTTCTGCGACTCGGGGCCCTCTTGGACCGTCTTGGGGGCCTCGTGGGGCCTTCTTGGCCCGTCTTGGGGCCCTCTTGGGCCAGAAAAGTTCATGCGAAACTGCTTCCCGGAGCCCAGGGGGCACGCGACAAGCCCCGAGAGATCTGGCAAGTTGGGGTCCGGGCGAAGGACCTGAGGACACGCCCACTCCGTGCCCAGCGGCAGGGAGGCGGATTGTTGATTACTGAGGACCTGGTGAGATTCCACTCGATGTCTCACGGCACGGTTGCGGATTGCTTGTAACTACACGGTTTTGTTCCAGGTTCCACGATTGCCACTTCCATGGGATGCGTGCGCCGCTCAAAAGAATTGATAATGACGTTTGCACGCATGGTAACGGCCACTTGCAGTTCAGAGCGGTTGCTCCTCCTCCTCCTCTTTCTGTTTATCAATCCGTGTTCCTTGGAAATCTAATTCCTCCCAGTTGCGTCACCAGAAGTGTCAGTAGGGCGAGTCGGCCATTTCGCCTGATACCTTGTCATTGTTCTCACAGCTTCGCGGATCGAGGGCGGGTGGTTTTCAACATGTTTTATCGCCATAGCGCCGCGCACATTCGTTTTACAAGGTTACAACATTTGCAGGTGTGGAGGGTTGGCCGTTTTCAACATGTTGTTATCTTTTTTAGCGTTGCGCACATTCGTTTTGGGCAGGTTCAAGTCGTGGCTCGTCCTAGCGCCACGCAGTTGCTTTTCCACGCGTTTCCAATAGTTATTAGTTCTGAGGATGGAGTGTGGGTGGTTTTCACAATGGGGCTCTCGCTTGAGCGCCGCGCCTATTTGTCACCAAACGTTTCTTCAACCACTACCAGGATGCAGGGCGGTTCCTTCTCATAGTGGGGCCCTCGCTTGCGACTTGTTGACGTCTGATCCAGTTGTGCTGCCGCGCATATCCGCCAACGCACAGGAGGAACGGCCTAGCAAGGTGGTAGCCAGTCTCGCAGTGATTTTTTGGGCCGTCTTGCAGGCCTGGCAGGAGTCTGGGGGCCATCTTGGGGTCACTTTGGACGCGCTTCGGAGCACTGGGCAGTCTCGTGGAGACTTCTTGGGCTCTTCCCGATGCCTGGCAGCCCATCTTGAGGAGTTGTGCGGGCTCAGCGGGTGCGCGCAGGAGCTCGAGCCGTCGTCCTTTGAATCGGAGAGAGGGGCAGCGACACAGCTCGCAGAGTTTTGCAGCCTCGGCAAGCGGTGGTCGGCGGATTTGTTTTTGGTACTTCCATGCCAAATGTCCTTCACGTCGTCGGCGTCTCCCCGTCATCGTTATCTGCCTCGTCATCCCTGCTTCTCTTGGTCCTCATCTTTGTGTTCCGCTGCTTTTGTCTTTGTACCTCCCTTTCGCCCTTCTCATCGTCGTCCTTTCTGTCCTCTCGGGCGTGTTCGAGCCCTCTTTGTTGGCTTCACGCACTTGAGGCCCCGATCGTGTGCCGCGTTGTCACGTTTTTCGGTCTATCAGGAGTTGTCGCGGGCCGTAGTGGGCTGCGCGTTTTCTACGCGTGCCTCTCTGATTTCTTCAAGTGTGGTGTGGCCAGAAGCGTAAGCAGGTGCAACAGTGACGGGACGGAGGGCGGTATGTTTTCAACATGGGTCTTTCGTTCGAGACTTCCTTACGTAATGATCATTTGTGGAAGCTTGTGCAACACTTGCACTGTTCGAAGGCGTTTCTTCTTCACCAGGGCTCTCGCTGGGCACTCGCCTGAACTTCATGACCCCATCTGTTCGAATCTTATATAGCTCGAAGGATTCAGAGCAGTTCCATTTTAATACGGGGCTGCCGCTTGAAGGTTAAGCCAACTCCACCTGCGGCCCTCCATGTTGCGGCGCCACGGCGCATCGGGGGCCGTAGCGCATACCACAGAAAAATCCAAGCCAGACTTGTGGGTATACGCTAAGCCCCGTGGGGCCGTAGATGGGGTGGTGTCGTTTGTTTTCTGGTCCACCACTGAGCTCTCGTCGTTCAAGGGAGCGCTTCCCGTGATGCTGATGAATGCTTGTAGGGACTTTCGAGGAGTGGCTCGGAACGGGATGGTGATTTTCAGCATCGTTGATGCCTTCTTGTTTTCCAGCGATCCTCTTTCTCCTCGTTTCTCTTCCGACCAGGACATGAAGTCCCAAAGGCCGTCCATTCATTCCTTCCTCCTCCCCTGTCACCCTGTCTCCTCCTCTCTCCTGCTTTGCCTCGTCCTACCCCTTTCCCTCCTTCGCCTTCTCCTCTTGCGTGTAGCCAATAACCTCCAGGGCCCGTCTCCCCGAACTCCTTGGCAGGCGCTCTGGGCGCGCGCTCGGAGCGGGATTGGTGCTTCCCAGGCTCCCGACGTTGTGGTGATTTCTTCATGGCGTGGATCCCACGGGTTTTCACCCGGAGCCGTTTTCTGTTGCCCGCAGGCCCAGCAAGGCCCCCAGAAGCCGACCATATAGAAGACCCTCCCGTCAAGACTACTGCACGACGCGACGGGGTCTGGGCTTCATGCTAAGTCCGGGCCGCTCATCGAGCGATCGGTCAGCCGATTCGACCGATCCGCTCGGTCGACCCGGACCGTGGCGGCGGGAGGGAGCCGGGCGGCCGAGGACGCACTGGAGGCGCTCTGGGAACACATCTTCCGCAACGTGCTCGGCGTGGAGCAGGCCACGGATGGGGTCCACGTCGGGTCCGTTCGATACCTTTCCGATATCGATGTATCCATTCCGATCGTTTTCTCGACAGGTTGGCATCATGTATCGAAGTGGTGATATCGAATTTCATGCATAGATATAGAAGTTCTGAGAACGTGCATCCTGTGTGAGCGAGAGGGTCTCCGCCATCGTTTCAAACGGTTGAGTTGCATCCGTGTCCGATGCCTTCAATGTTCAAGTCCCTTGATGGATCTGGTCCAGATCGGAGGCGTCCTCCGAGAGCTGTCCCATCTCTCACTCCACCTTAGCTCTGCCTTGCAATCTTGCCCTCCGTGCCCTTCGCTCCACTGCCCCGACGTGGCCTGCGGCTCACTGACCTGCGCCGCGGGAGTGCCCGTGGAGCCCGTGGACTGCCCAGCGGCGGCCGCGCGCTAGTGGGTGCCGACAGCGTCGGCCTTCGCCGCTGGCATCCTGGTGGGGCTGGTGGTGGACCGCGTGGCGCGCTGGGCCCTGGGGCCCGCCGCCGCCCGCCGCGCGACCTTCGCTGAGGGCCTTCTCGCGGTGGAGGCGGTCGGAGGCGAGGGAGCGGAGTCGCTGACCGCCGAGCGCCGCGCCGCGCAGGATCGCCGCCGCCATGCTGGCTCGACCGGCGCTGGAGGGGCTCGTGGAAGGCACTAGGCTGCTGGTGCTGTAACCATGGCGACGACTGCCACCACGAGCGGCTACTGTGCCACCCGGTGAGCCGCTCAGCGGGGCACTGGGTTGCCGCCGCGCCCGACTTCGAGGTGTACGACGAGATCTACTCGGACGCGGAGGTCTTCCGCCGTGTGTCGGTGCTGCCGCCGTCGCGCGCGCTGCCGCGCGGGATCCGCGAGGCGGACGCGTACCTCTTCTACGACGGCAGGACGAGGACGGGCGACATCGCGCCCTCGCTGGTGCAGCGGCTCGTCGCGCGGGCCGACGCCTACCGCAGCGGGATGGAGACTCCAGGCGAGCCCGCTGCCGGAGCTGGCCGCGACCGCCAGGGCGGCGCCGCCGCGGAGGCTGCGCGGCAAGCGTTCCCCGCCCCTGGCTGCGCTGGCGGACGGCCCCCCCGGCTCGGAGGCAGTCGGCGGCGTTGACACGCCGCGCAGTTCGGAGCGGGGCGGGGGGCCCGTGGGCTTGGACGCGCCGCCGCTGCCGCCCCGGGCGCGCGTGGGAGCCTGGCTGGTCGCCGACCCGAGCTGTGGCTTCGCGCTGGGCGCCGAGACGGCTGACCCCGAGGTGCAGTGCGGGACGGCGGGGATCGCGCGTCTCGGTGGTGTTAACGTCGCCGTGGAATGGGTCGCGCTCGACGCCCTCGACGACTACGCGTCCACGGGAGCTGCTCAGCTCCGTCGAGCCTTCGGCTCGGCCGCTCCGGCCGCTGCGGACATCGGCGGCGCCGACGGCGCTGGCGTCCTGGAGAAGGCCAAGGCGCTCGTCAGCCGCGCCCAGCGGGCCCTGCGCTCCAAGGCCGACGACGACATGTGGCTGAAGGAACAGCTCAGCAAACTGGACAGCCCGGAGCTCGAGGGGCTCGTGAAGGAAGTCTTCTCCGAGAGCGGGTCGCTGAAGGTGGAGCTCAGCGACGTGATGACGAGGCTGGCCAAGCTAGGCGACGCTGGAGGTTGCCCAGGGGCGTTTGGCGACAGCGACGCCAGAGTGCTGGCAGCCCGCGCGCCCTTCGGGATCAGGCACCGCGACTTCAGGGCATCCGTGGAGGCCATGCAGGAGAGCTCCTGGGAGACTGGCCGCTGAACTCACCACCTTCGAACTCCACCCTATCCCCAAGACCAGCATTCCCATTTCCGAGGGGTCACAATTACGGGGGCCCGTTGGGGGCTCTAGAGGTTTAGCATGGGCCGACATCACTAGCTGTTCAAATGGCCCGATTGCCACATATCTGTGTCACCGATTGATTGCGACGCGGTATTGCTTGCTTGCTTACCGCCAACGCGCTTTTTCAATGCGCGCGTTTGGCTTTGCTTTGCCATACTTACACGATGTTATAATGCATGTTTGTTGTGGTCAATGGGTCAACTGGAAAACGCGTATCGCCGTTCTTCCGCCAACGCACATTAACTCAACCAATTCCCCATCCGCTCCTCGGGCTCTTCCCCCATCCTCTCGGATAGGCAGACGGACGGATGAACCGCGCGGGGCGTAGGATGGGGGCGAGGGAAGAGGTCGGGAAGAGGTAGTTGGGGGGCGGGGATGGGGGGCTCTTAGCCCTCCCCGTGTTGCCCCGTGTTGCAGAGGAGTTGTCCCCCACCCGTTCTGTTTCGGAGGGCCCACTTGCTCCCAGAACGCCCCCCCCGCCCCCTCCCCCCCCCCCCCCCCCGATTCATAGGACTTGCCTTGCGCGCAGAATTCCATGCCCCTCAGGTCGATTATCCAGGTGGTGTGTGTGTGTGTGTGTGTGTGTGTGGGGAATGCGCAAGTGAGATCGTTGTCGCATCAGTTTCAACGCGCCTTACCGTATCCGTCGTCATCGCCAACACCATCATCGATTGCCCATTGTGGCCCACGTGATTTTATAGACTTCGAGTTTCGTGCGCCCTGTACCTCCCTTTTTGTGTTTCGCAGACTGCGTTGTCTGTGCCAGTAGATTCGTTTTGTGTGGGTGTTCTCTATACAAGCCTGGTGCGAAAGGCTCCGTCCTGGTCTCTTTCGCTGAGAGTGTGCCGCACGTGCGGGAGGTGAGAAACGACCAGCAGGAGATGAGCAGACGAACTCGGTCTCGATTGTGCCTGCAGAAGTGTATCGACCACATGGAGAAATTTCCCGACGCGGCGCCCGACGTGTGGAATAACATGCAAGCGGGCCTCGCAGGTGACAGCGTCGAGCAGTGCATTGAGAAGCAGCAGGCCCAGGAGACACCGCCCACGGGGCGCTCGCGAAGGCTGCGCCCACGTTCGGCAAGCTCGACAAGTCCGTGCTCGCGTCCATCCTGGGCGCCATGCCGCGTGGTCCATCTTCGGCGCCCCGCGACGCCATGGGCGACAAGGATAAGCACGCAGTGGCAGATGTATTTGGCATCGCCTTCCAAATCTCTATGAAAGATAAGGTGCCGCAAGAGTGCAGGACCGATTTGGCCATCTTCCTGAACACCATGAAGTTGCGCCTGGCTGAGATTGGTTTCGACGTCGCCCGCTGGTTCGAGAAGAGTGTCGGCGTCGACGGCGCTGTCGACTGGTCAGCGCTCCTTTTGTACGGCCTGCAGTATGAGAATGGCCGCTTGGCCAAGATCACGTGCGTGAATGGTGACATCGCATTGGCCCCCGCCCACGTGACCATCTCGTCGAGCATCCCGCTGAGCAGCGCGTCGTCGATCGACGAGGCCCACCTGCTGGTGGGCGAGAGCCCTTTGAAGGCAGCCTAGTACTTTCCAGCGGGGAGTGGGCCTACGAAGTACCGCCTGGACAAGAAAGGTAGTCATGTTCAGAGCTTGCGCAATATCGCCGCTGACAACCTGGATGCCGCCAAGGAGAAGTTCAGCGCCATCGCCGACGCCCCCGAGCTGGTGACCTTTCAGACTCGCAGCAAGCGCCGGCGTGACGAGGCGCTGGAGAAAGCGCGGGCTGATCGTGCTGCTGCGCCCAAGGTGGGGCGCCAGCTTGCGTATTCAATATAGTTTCTGCATGTAGTTAAGTATTATCGTAATCTTTGCAATCTAGTTGCCTCGGGATTTGGCCCCCCCGAGGCCGGTGGCGCCAGTGCAGGTGCCCTTGGGGCTCGGACGCTTGCGCGTGCGCCCTTCTGCAGGCTTGCACGCGTAGAGCTGCCAAGGGTACGTCGTCTTCATCTTGCTCGCCCCATCCTCGCCCCCTTCCCGTCGCAGGCTCCCCAGGACTTTCGAGAGTATGCGCCGAACCGAAGGGATGTTGGCCGCCGTAGTCGGGGGCAGTTGGCAGGGGGGGATCGGGGAAAGGGGGGGGGGGGATAGGAGGAGACAGGGGGTGACGGGAGATAGAGACTGGGGAGCAGGAGGGAGGAGCGAATGATGATCATGACGACGACGATTTCGCCAGTTGGAGGTTTCGGCGTTTGGCGAGCCCTTGGAGATGCAAGCGAGGGCCCCATTAGTGAGTGTCCGCTCGACCGATCGCCCGAACCCTCCCCTTCCCATCCGCCCCCGTGGTCGGCTGGAACCTCAAGGAGAGGTTGAGGATCAGGAGCAACAGCATCCCCCTCCCCGCGCGACGCCGCCTCGGCGTTGCCCCCCCCCGCCCGCGCGGCGCCAGCGGTCGCGTTCGCTTCGAAGGTCCAGCGCCCCCCCCGACCTGCACGCGCGAGGCTCCTCCTCATCCTCCTCCTCGTCGCTAGCACTCCGTCAACGTTGGCACTGTTGAGCGATCCTCAACTTGCTCTTCCGCCTCCTCAGCGCCCCCGTTGCACATAGCCTTTCTGGCTCAAGCCATCTCGCAGTTTTTTTCTGGAGGCAGACCAGTGTGAACTACTGGAGCTCCTTCGGCGGCATGGCCGCCGACGCAGTGCCACCACCTTTAGTTGGCGAGGCTGGCCAGCTGGTCCTCATCGCCCCCCTGTGCAACACCAAGCCCGCCATGCTGGAGGAACTCAAGCGTCGCGTCGCTTCGGGAACACCCTTGGTCGTCAAAGGCATGGTGATTCCACTCGAGGTGATGCGCGCTGCCGCGGGGCAGATCGGGGGCGGCGCGGACGTCCCCGCGATGCACTCCGCAGCGGCAGCAGGTTCAGGGGGCGCCGCGCCCGTTGGCCCACCTGGAGAGGCGGCTGCGTTCATCGCGCTGGAGGGCGCCATCCAACCAGAGCAGATCCACATCCCAGAGGATCCAGCACCGCCGCCTCCTTTACCACCTCCTGCGGAGCCCCCCGTTGCGCCCGCTGACGGCGGCGCGGGTTCCGACGCCTTTCAGTTGCGAGGTTTTGAGGGTGAGCTCCAGGTGCGCTTCAACAGCGAGTCCATGATGTACGAACTTGTGCAGCTCGAAACGTTCGACAGGATGGCGCTGCTGCGCACGGAGACGGAGTGGGCGCTGGACGTGGACGGCTGGGGCGCCGAGCTGGTGGAGGCGACCGATGGCGGAAGGAAGCTCGACGCCGTCGAGTTGCTGAACCGAGTCGTCTACATCGGGGAGTCCGACGGGGAGACCGTGCTGCAGACTACGGCTGGCGACCTCGCCATCACCCGCTCTCTCGACGAAGCGCTCGCGAGCGTGGCGTCTTTCACGTTGAAGGTGACGAGCTGGGCTACGACGGCCGCCAACCCGCTGGGCATCTCGACCTACGAGCTCAGGCGGGACGGCAACTTCGCGTTCTTCAGTTTGCCGTCGGTGCTGCTTGCCATCGGGGCCCATCGGAAGTTGCCTGTCAAGAGTTTTGTGGGCCGCCAATTCCCAGGATGGAACGCTGCACTTAAGACGCGGAGCTCGGCCGTCCGCGAAACTCAGTGGCTTGCGACCAGACGGAAGTACGTGGGCCCGACACGGTTGGCAACAGGGCGCTGAAGGAGAAATCAGCCAGCGTGACGTCGTTGCTCTACCTCTTCGTTCGATGGTCGTTTGCAAATAAGCAGGGGGGGGGGGTCGCGAATGAGACCGGGAAGGGTTCATCGGCAGACATATTGGGGAGGCTTTTAGTGGAAATCTACGTTGGTGGACGTGTTGCGTTTGGTTTATTTACGTCGTATGTCGAGCGGACCAGCAGTGGCTTGATAATTGGGTCAGCCAGAAGCTCATGGTACACATCAGTATGGACGGGGCCGTGGCCCTCTTCGTGATCGGCGAGGTGAACACTTTGAACCGAGGTGCTAAGGCATTCTTGAATAAGTTCTGGGAGAAGTTCCGAACCAAGCCTCCTGGGATCATGTCCTTCTTCAGTTGGATCATGCTGGACGTGCCGCCGTCCAGGGTCCGACCGATCTTTTCTCTGCGAGTGTTGTGGCGTTTCGGTGACTTGCTTGACATGCGCATCACTGGCCTCGTGAAGGAGAGCAAAGGCATCGGCAGTTGCATGGGGCTTGGGCGAACGACTACGGCGACTCGAAGGCGATGCAGTGCGCCCTCTACGTCAAGGCCGCGGAGTCCTTGAAGAAGTCGAACTCCATGCAGTTCATCTCCCACTCGCCCGACAAGTCGCGCGTGCACAACTTCGGCATCTTGAACACCTTCGTCGCCATGCCGAACAACGTCGGCTTCTGGGGCATGCCTCAGGACTGGGGTCTCGCTCTCACGCCCCCTCTCGAACTTCAGCTGGTGTCCCGTGTGGAATCGCCCTCGGGATCGCGAATGCGAATCTGAGGGGTGCGAATTTTAGGGGTGGGGGGGTGTCTCGAGCGGGGGCCCTCCCTAAGATTGACGTCGTCAATCTTAGGGGGGTTCCCCGCTCGAGACACCCCCCCGTCCCCGAGATTCGCATCCCTAAGATTAGCATTGAGAATTCCTGGATCTCGCCCTAAGGGCGTCGGTGCCACGCCGAGCGCCGGTAGGGGGGGGGAGAGGGGGGGGCGGAGCAGCTCAGGAGGAGTAGGAGAGGGGGGGAGAGAGAGTGAGAGGGGGGCAGCCCAGGACCCTGGCGACTTCATGGGGAAGACCACGATGGCAGAGATCATCGGCGGCGGGGGGGGCAAGAAGGTTGCGCTGAAAGCGCAGGCTGCGAGGCAAATGGCATGGCTCAAGAGGAAGAGAGAGGGCTCGAACTCGGGTAGTTGGCAACCGCCCAAGCGGCATCGGAAGGCTGCTTGCCAATTCACATGTTGCGAGCACAATTCGATGAAACGGTTTCTTGACAAAGGTCTTCTTCACTTCCATGTTCCTGCTGATCCCAAGGATCGAGACAACGTTGCCAAGTGGCCCCGTCTGTCGATCAGCCCTGACCAGGGCAGCGACGGGGTGGCAGCCATCTCCCACTGGCTTCACATGGGGTCAACGTGGACCCAGCATGGGACTTCAGCCACGGGGTCCACAACGATATTTACGGTGGAATCGAAGCAGCTGGCCTCGGGTGCCATATTTCTGTGTCTTTGTTGAGGATTAACGTGCCAGTATCGCCGTGGGGCGAGAACTTTCGGTGGGGCCAAGTCACTGGAGCACTGAAGGAAGCCGTCGCCACGACGACAGCCTCGACCAACGTGTTCTTCCAGGACTTCGTCGACGATATGTTGGCAGAGCCTGCTGGGCGAGAGTTCGCGGACACCCCTGAACCTGCAGATGCGTTGTGGAACCACCTGGAGGAATCCAGCGCGTTCACCACCAGGGGGGGCAAGACGTTGAAGAACCGATTCTTGGCCGTCATCAGGAAAATCAGAGAGGGGTTGAATTACAGCGCCCAGAGAAAGTTCGGGTGCTTGCTGACCTGCGTGGGAATGGGCATGGTAGGCAACGCGAAGTTCGCCCGCCTTGTGAGGTCGGGCGCCGAACTCGCGCGCACCACCAACAGCCGTGTGGAGACAGAGGAGGAGACGAGCCTTCGGAAGTCATGTGCCAACCAGATGGTGGTCGCCCTGATGGACTGGCTGCGGCCCGGTACGACGATGCTTGACAAGATCATTGTTGGTGCCTCGGAGCCGTGCAAACAGTGGTTTGACATGACCAACGCTGAGCTTCGCGATGCTGGCAAGACAGAACCATGGCTGAGGGGACAGACCACTGGCGAATACATTACACACTTGAAAGATACGATTTCAGTTATCTCGTCTTCGACAAAACCCGAGGACTTCGATTTCATTCTCCCCACTGGTCACAACATCGCAAACTTGCCCCAGGAGCGCCACGAGGCCAGAGATAGTGACATGATGCAGAAGCTCGCCCACACCTGCGTCGGCATCGTGGGCTGCCGCGTCAAGCGGGCGCTGTGGATGATGAAAGGCTGGAACTCGCGGTCGTGCTTCTTCGCGGCCGACGCCGACTTTGCTCGCCGCGAGGTTGTCCGCATGAAGACGGAGTGCGAGAACTACGAGACGATGAAGCGGAGCAGCCATGTGGAGGGCGTGCAGTTGTTCGTGGGTCGCAGCCCTTGGGAGTGGAAGTCGCAGCAGCAAGTGTGCGGGTTTTGAAGATGGACGGCTTCAGCATCACAGAGCGGGTTCGTTCGTTCTTCCAAGCGTGCCGTAGCAGGTGCATCGGCTCGCAGATCGTGGAGGGCGGGTTCAATGGCCAGAAGAACAGCGTCCCTCATGAGAACAGGAATGGCGCAATCGAGACTGCGTTCCACACGTTGTTCGACAAGAAGGTTGCGTCCAAGAAGCACGACTACAAGGGGTTGACTTTCCCGATGTTCAATTACCAGCGCGACCTCAAGGTGCCTTCTGATGCTCATCGTCCGTCGTTTTTGTCCATGCCGGAGGAGTTCGCCAAGGTCACGTCTGCTAAGCAGGCGACTCAGTGGTACTCGCCGAGGCGAATGACTGGAGCGCCAGATTCGCCGATGCCGTCATCATCGACCACTGCGTTCGCTTCGGCTGCCTCGGCAAGATCCAGCACGCTTGGCGCGGCGAGATGTTCATGGCGACGTCTAAGCTCGCTGTCAGATGCACGCTGGCAGGCGCCGCTACGCCATGGATGTTGCCTCTGACGCACTTCTCCCGCAGCGCTGGGGTTGCTTGGCCTCACAAGGAGCACGCGGTAGTGAATGCAGATGTTGTGTTTATGCAGTTGTCCTTGGGTGCTGTGAGTATTGATGAGTTGCTCCGTGCTGTTGCTGACCCGAGCAACTGGGAAGCGATCCCTGTCGAATGGTGTTCGGTATTCTCGCGGTGTCTTCTTCTTGGAGCTCAGCTGCCCAGGGAGCTGCCAGGTGGGCTCGGCGGCAGGCTCCGAGTGACAGGACGTGCTGCGCCTCTCCTTGTGGTTGCTGCTCGCACGTGCTTCCTCGGCCTGAGCAAGACGCAGCTGACCAGACTGATGAAGTACCAAGGGGTCGCGGCCAAGGGGGGCAGCTTGTACGGGATCCTTGAGGCGCTCATCAAGTGCAACCTCGGCAAGCCAGACGCGCCCGCCAACGAGGACGAGCTGCTGGAGATCATGGCCATCAGGATGGTGGAGTCGGTATCGAATCAGAACGCAACCCTGGAGACGTTCATGCACGTCGAGGGCGCCAACTTGCTTTTCTCCCACTCCTCGGGGGCTTTCCTCCCCTTCCTAAGGGGGGCTGGCACGTGACAAGAAGCAGGAACGAAGAGGAACGGCGGCAGCGAGGGGGCGGAAAAGGGGTAGGAGCGAGGAGGGCGACGACGACGACGACGACGAAAACGACGGCCGCTGGGCCGTCTGGGCCGTCTGGGCCGTCTGGGCCGTCTGGGCCGCCTGCCCACCTGGGCCGTCTCGGCCGCCTGGGCCGTCTGGGCCGTCTAGGCCGTCTGGCCCGTCTGGGCCGCGGGCGCTGCGTTGAATTCCAGCTCCCTTCATGGGGCCGCGGAACTTGCTGCAAAGCGATCAACCGCTCACCCAGAAACAACGACATACCGTTCGGCCCCTGTTATGTTAAGTTAAGTTAAGTCATGTTAAGTCGACCTAGCTCGACCAGCATTTCTTTTATCTTTGGAACGCGCGAACGCGCCCCCAGGGCTAACGATTTCTAATTATTTGCGTGTTGCGCACGCCCCGAGTTACAAACGCTTACGAACACTTACGAACGACTTAGTATGTCGGCTAATTGGTTATAATTAATTGCAACCGATGCTCGACTTACAATTAGTTAGCCCGCGACTTGCGTTTTGTAGAAGTCGGCTTGTCTACTTTATAAGATGGGTTGCCGCAGTTATATGTTCGCTTGCAACTCACTTATAAATTGGCTAACCTGAAGCGAGAGCAAAGTTCGTCTGTGAGTGATTTGCGAGGAAGTCTCAGGCGGGGGCCATTTCCGTTCCGACCAGGCCAGCGGCAAATTCTACCATGCATGGCGTTTGAGCGCCAGCAGCGTTGGTTTCTGGCCCGCCCGGCAAATCGGCATGGGCATCTATTGGGAGACGCTGGCGATGTGGATCAACGCGCGTGCTCGCCTCGACGCGCGGCGTCTGGGTGTGCCCCTCGTGTTCTTGCAGGCTGTAAATGAATGCGGCGCTGGGCGACCCGGGCGCAGGCCGGCGCCTCCTGATCGCCCCGAACATGTGCAATGCGGGGGATATCCTCGGCGTCTTTCCGGCGCGCGTTCGCATGGAAGTCGTGTTCGCGGCCGTGCAGGAAGAACTGAAGAAAAAGAACACTAATAATAATAGTACACATCATACTAAGACTTATAATAATAATACTATTAATAATACTATGAAGAATACTTCATAGAAGAAGAAGAAGTTGGGGCTCGTGCAGGAGCAACGGGCCAGGATCAGACGACGGGCGGGGCTGCGAGGGGCGCGCGCCTGGCCAGCTCTTTCGCCCCCGCTACCTACCGCAGAGAAGTTGGATGCAGATCGCGGCTTCAAGACGTCCCCGACGTATAAGGAGGTCGCCGAGATGCTACTGCAAGGCGCCGAAGGCGCTGACGACTGCGAGGCCGAGGCGCGGTTGAGGAGCATGCCCATGGTCAGGCCCAGCGAGTGGGAATGCTCACGTGGCAGAGCTCGGGGCCGCGCGTCGGGCGCCGCTCCGGGTTCACCCCGACGCGCGCGTCCCACTCGACCTCCGCGCTGTCGCGGGGCCAGACAGTGCGCAAGGGCGACGCCGTCGAATGCGCCAGGGATGAGGGCGCTGGTCGCGCGGGCATGTCGGACGAGCAGTGGTGGCTGCGCCTCTACGTCGTGTTCTCCTTCGCCGCGTGCGCGTGGAACGTGCTGATCCCGCGGCCGCCCGCGCGACAGTTCCTGGGGCGCGGGCCGCCGGCGTCCCTGCGGGAGGTGCTCGAGGAGTTCGACGAGAGCGGTGGGCCCCAGGGCTGAGGCGGTGCAGCTCGCGGCGGAGCGGACCTTCGTGTTGCCTGCCTCCCGCTTGAGCGCGGCCGCGAATAATTCTGTGCCTGCGGGGTTGTCCCGACGGCGTGTTCTCGCGCCTCGGCGACTCGCGGGTCTGTCCCAGTGGCCGTTGCCGCGGCGGCTTCGCGATTGTGCCATCGGGGAACGCGCCCCTGCTGGGCGCGGCGGCGAAGGCGCTGGGGAAAATCGGTATGCGCCCCTTGCCAGGTCGAAAGGGAGGTGCATGAGGTGCGCGGGCGGGATGGGGATGAGGGGGGGGGGAAAGGGGGAGAGGACAAGCTAGGTGCGCTCGCGTCATATCTGACATCCTACCCCTCCCTCCCATCCCTTACCATGGCGCGGACCCCCTTTCTACTCGCACAGTCGGATGTCGAACAGGGCAATGATCCCGAAAGGGTACGCGATGCATTGTAGAGCACGGCGTGGCATGGCGTAGACGAGCCCCGCGAAACGTAGTGTCAACCTAGCATTGCATTGCATGCCGTGGCATGGCGCGGGAAATGACGCCAGCGCTGGAGCGGGGGCACGAGTCGAAACGAGCGGAAGCGCGGAAATGAGGCCAGCGCTGCAGTGGGAGCACGATTCGGAACGAGCGGAAGCACGCCAGAATCGGCCCGGGAGGCTTCCCCAGGCGCCAAAAGCAGAAATTGAGCATTTTCAAAAGAAAAATTGTGTATTGGAATGGCATGTTTTCGGCGCCGCCTCGGAAATCGATTTTCCGGCGCCGGCCGGAACCGGCTCCGGACCCGGCCCGGGCGCCGGCCCGGGCGCCGGCTCGGGCGTCTGGCCCGGGCGCCGGCTCTGGCGCCAGCCCGGGCGTCGGAATCGGCCCGGGAGGCCCCCCGGGCGCCGGAAGCAGAAATTGAGCATTTTCAACAACAAATATCTTGGCAAAGCAACCTAACAGCGATGTGTAGGAGCATATTTGGAAGCATTCCCCTTAAGATTCAGAGGAGAATCCTGTTGTAGAATTCTGTTGTTTTCGCAGTCGTAGTCGCATTCGCGATGGCAGTCGCAGTGGCAACGGCAGTCGCAGTCACAGCCTCAGCCTCAGCCTGCCTCAGCCTCAGCCTCAGCCTGCCTCAGCCTCAGCCTGCCTCAGCCTCAGCCTCAGCCTGCTTCAGCCTCAACATCAGTCTGCCTTCAACCTCGGCCTCAGCCTCAGCCTGCCTCAGCCTCAGCCTGCATCAGCCTCAGCCTCAGCCTCAGCCTGCCTCAGCATCAGCCTGCCTCAGCCTCAGCCTCAGCCTGCCTCTGCCTCAGCCTCAGCCTGCTTCAGCCTCAGCCTCAGTCTGCCTTCAGCCTCGGCCTCAGCCTCAGCCTGCCTCAGCCTCAGCCTGCATCAGCCTCAGCCTCAGCCTCAGCCTGCCTCAGCATCAGCCTGCCTCAGCCTCAGCCTCAGCCTGCCTCAGCCTCAGCCTCAGCCTGCTTCAGCCTCAGCCTCAGTCTGCCTTCAGCCTCGGCCTCAGCCTCAGCCTGCCTCAGCCTCAGCCTGCATCAGCCTCAGCCTCAGCCTCAGCCTCAGCCTCAGCCTCAGCCTGCAGCCTCAGCCTCAGCCTGCCTCAGCCTCAGCCTCAGCCTCAGCCTGCTTCAGCCTCAGCCTCAGTCTGCCTTCAGCCTCGGCCTCAGCCTCAGCCTGCCTCAGCCTCAGCCTGCATCAGCCTCAGCCTCAGCCTCAGCCTGCCTCAGCATCAGCCTGCCTCAGCCTCAGCCTCAGCCTGCCTCAGCCTCAGCCTCAGCCTGCTTCAGCCTCAGCCTCAGTCTGCCTTCAGCCTCGGCCTCAGCCTCAGCCTGCCTCAGCCTCAGCCTGCATCAGCCTCAGCCTCAGCCTCAGCCTGCCTCAGCATCAGCCTGCCTCAGCCTCAGCCTCAGCCTCAGCCTGCTTCAGCCTCAGCCTCAGTCTGCCTTCAGCCTCGGCCTCAGCCTCAGCCTGCCTCAGCCTCAGCCTGCATCAGCCTCAGCCTCAGCCTCAGCCTGCCTCAGCATCAGCCTGCCTCAGCCTCAGCCTGCAGCCTGCCTCAGCCTCAGCCTCAGCCTCAGCCTCAGCCTCAGCCTCAGCCTCAGCCTCAGCCTTGAGCCTCGCTCTCAGCCTCAGCCTGCCTCAGCCTCAGCCTGCCTCAGCCTCAGCCTCAGCCTGCTTCAGCCTCAGCCTCAGCCTCAGCCTCAGCCTCAGCCTCAGCCTCAGCCTCAGCCTCAGCCTGCTTCAGCCTCAGCCTCAGTCTGCCTTCAGCCTCGGCCTCAGCCTCAGCCTGCCTCAGCCTCAGCCTGCATCAGCCTCAGCCTCAGCCTCAGCCTGCCTCAGCATCAGCCTGCCTCAGCCTCAGCCTCAGCCTGCCTCAGCCTCAGCCTCAGCTGCTTCAGCCTCAGCCTCAGTCTGCCTTCAGCCTCGGCCTCAGCCTCAGCCTGCCTCAGCCTCAGCCTGCCTCAGCCTCAGCATCAGCCTGCCTCAGCATTCAAAATGTGGCCCGGGAATGGAGTTCTGGGAACTCGAAGAACACGAAGTGGCCTACAGTTGGCTCCGGGCATTCAAAATCATGCCCAGGAATGGAGTTCTGGGAACTCGAAGACCACGAAGTGGCCTACAGTTGGCTCCGGGCATTCAAAATGTGGCCCGGGAATGGAGTTCTGGGAACTCGAAGACCACGAAGTGGCCTACAGTTGGCTCCGGGCATTCAAAATGCAATGGAGTTCTGGGAACTCGAAGACACGAAGTGGCCTACAGTTGGCTCCGCGCATTCAAAATCATGCCCAGGAATGGAGTTCTGGGAACTCGAAGACCACGAAATGGCCTACAGTTGGCTCCGGGCATTCAGAATGTGGCTCGGGAATGGAGTTCTGGGACCTCGAAGACCACGAAGTGTGTAACTGTTTGCTAAAAATTACCAATGGTCACTGGCGGCGCTGGGGGCCGCAGCATCAGCCTCAGTGGTGGATTCCCCATAGTCACTGGCGGCGCTGGGAGCCTCAGCCTCAGCCTCAGTGAGTCACTGGCGGTGCTGGGGGCCTCAGCCTCAGCCTCAGTGGTGCATTCCCCATAGTCACTGACGGCGCTGGGGGCCTCAGCCTCAGCCTCAGTGGTGCGTTCCCTATAGTCACTGGCGGATCCGCGGATTCTCCCCGGATCCTGCCCGGACCCCCCTGGGGAGTCATGATGCTCTCTTTTGAGACCACTAGGAACCTATCAGTCTTCGCTGAATGTGTAATAGAATGGCCTTTTTTCGGCGCCGCCTCGGAACCTGATTTTCCGGCGCCGGCCAGAACCGGCTCCGGACCCGGCCCGGGCGCCGGCCCGGGCGCCGGCTCGGGCGTCCGGCCCGGGCGCCGGCTCGGGCGCCGGCCCTGGCGTCGGAATCGGCCCAGGAGGCCTCCCGGGCGCCGGAAGCAGAAATTGAGCATTTCCAAAAGAAAAATGTGTATTAGAATGGTCTTTTTTCGGCGCCGCCTTGGAACTCTATTTTCCGGGGGCGGCCGGAACCGGCTCCGGACCCAGCGGCCCGAGCGCCGGCCCGGGCGCCGGCTCGGGCGTGCAGCCCAGGCGCCGGCGCCGGCGGAAATGAGGCCAGCGCTGCAGCGGGAGCACGATTCGGAACGAGCGGGGCCCGAAAATGAGGCCGGCGCCTCAGCGAGAGCAGCATTTTGGAAACAAATGCAGGCGAAAACCCAACTCCGGGGAGACCTGTGTGTAAAAAACAGTACGCGGGGGGGGTCGGCTACTCCCATTCCGTCATCAGGGGAAGAGGGAGAGTAGTATTCATATTGAGTAATTGTGGAGGGGGTGGGGGGGGAGAAAGACGAGGAGGGGGAGGAAACGGACGAAGAGGGAAAGAGAAATTGAACAAATAAGGCGAACAGGAGAAGGAGACGGAGGACGAGGAAAACAAGGGGGAGGATGGGGGAGGCGCCGCAGATGGCGATGCGAGGGGCTTCGGCCAGGGAGAAAAGGAAAGAGCGAAGGGCAACCTAAATTGATGTTCGTGTGTGGTTCCGCCGTCGGAGACATCGACATTATATTTTCAAATAGTGCGTGTCGTTGATCGCCCCCTTCGGTGCAACTTGTATCTTTCAATTCAACTACAGTGGCTCCCGCTTGAACCCCCTTACACTCACTCGCTTCGTTCACTCCGACGGCCCATCTTGCATCACTGGTGCAATCTGTTTGTGTGGTAGTGGCGAGCGACAGGGAGGAGGAGGGCGATGCTGATGATGATGATGATGATGATGATGATGATGATGATGATGGTGGTGGTGGTGATGATGATGATGATGATGTTGATGATAGTTAATGATGATGATGATGATGATGATGATGATGATGATGATGATGATGATGATGATGATGAGGAGGAGGAGGAGGAGGAGGAGGAGGAGGAGGAGGAGGAGGGGAGAGGAGCTAGGGGGGGGATGAAGACGAAGAGGAGGTGTCTGGATGGCTTGTTGTGTTCATTTGGGGCGAAATTGGTGGTCATGGACAAGGCGCCTCTTTGGGAGCCGTTGGGGGTTTTCTGGGAGGCTTCTCGGGGGCCTCTTGGCGCTATTTCTAGGATCTCCTGGGGCGTCCCAGGGCCTTTTGGGGGCCTCTTGGGGATTTGTTGGGGCCTCTCGGGGGCCTTCTGGGGGCCTCTTGGGGCCTCCAGGGGACTTCGCTGCGCTGAGAGCTAGGAATTTCCGTTCGGGTCCCCGTCTGGGCCCGCTCTTGGACCCATTTTGGGGGCCTCTTCGGCCATCTTGGAGGCCTCAGGGGCTGCTTTAGGCCCTCTGCGCCGTTTTGAGTGCTCTTGGAGACCTCGTGGGCCGTGTTGGGGCGATCCTGGAAGCCTCTTGGGCCGTCTTGGTGCGCCGGCACACCGAAAAGGCGAGAACGCCAAAACGAAGGCTCTTTGGGCTGTCTGGAGGCCATTTCCGGCGTCTTGGATCGCTCTTCGACCGTCTCGGACCATGTTGAGCTCTTTTGGCTCTCTTGGAGGCCTCTTGAAGTGCTCCTGGAGCGGGACCTGGACGGCCTGGCCAGGACCTGGCCGGGATCTGCCCGGGACTTTGCCGGGTTTTTCTCGTCCGGGGACCCCCAGGTGCGGCCCCGCGCGCGCGAATTAGAAATATTGTTAACCATTTGCCCGAGGTCCTAGCACGCCCTTGGCCCGTTGGGCCGGCGAATCTCACAATCGCGCTCTCGAGCTGGGACTTGCTCAGACTTTATGCATGAATCTCGCTCCCACGTGGGATGTCCCCGCAACTTGTTCTGAGGCCGCGCCCTCGACCCTCAGGAATCGCGCTCTTGCAATGGTTTTTCTTTCGATTGATTGGAACCGCGCTATCGCTCGAGAGTTCCTCGCGATTCATGCGGGATTCATGCTTCAGCAATCCGCCTGCACGACCTGGCCGCTGTGGCCAGCCTTCCCGACCCGGCCCTTCGGATTTACCCGCGCGATTAGCCCGTCTAGTTCTGCCTCGTGTTTTCTGCTCCTAGCCCCCCTCCTGCTAATTTCTCCCATGCCCTATCCTTCGCCCTTCCCCCAATAAGAACGATCATTCTTAAGATTGTTGTTGTTGTTGTTGTTGTTGTTGTTGTTGTTGTTGCTGTTGTTGTTATTGTTGTTGTTGTTGTTGTTGTCGTTGTTGTTCATGTTATTATTGATGTTGTTCTGGTTGTTGATGATTATGCTGCTGCTGATGGTGATAAATGTGATGATGCTGATGATACAGATGATACTGATGATGGACATGCTGACGTTGCTGATGTTCATGACGATGCCAATGACGATGATGACGATGCTGATGATAATGATGATGATGAGGATGCTGATCATGATGATGTATGTCGGTGTTGCTGATAATGTTGATGATGATGGTTGTGATGATGAGATGATGACGATGATGATGATGGTGATGATCATGATGATGGTGATGACCATGATGACGATGATAACGATGATAATGATGCTGATGATAATGATGATGGCGACGATGGTTATTACTACTACTACTACTACTACTACTACTACTACTACTACTACTACTACTACTACTACTACTACTACTACTACGACTGCTCTTCTTATCATTATTATCATCATTATTATTATGATGCCGCTGCTGCTAACTATGCTGATGATGCTGCTGCTGCTGCTGCTGATGATGATGATGATGATGATGATGATGATGATGATGATGATGATGACGCTGCTGCTGCCGCTGTTGTTGTTGGTGTTCTTGAGGAGGAGGAAGAGGGGCGGAAGAGGGAAAGGATGAGTAGGATCAGTGGCACTCTCTCTTTCTGTCGAAGTCCCTCCTCCTCTGTCTCGCTCCCTCTCTCTCTCTCGCTCTTTCCCTATCACTCTCTCCCTCCCCTGCCTCCCTCACTCTTCCTTTTTCCAAAGTGCCCCCCCCTGGCTTGTCCGGCGCTTCGTTCCGTCCAGGATTTCGAAGGAAACCCAGCCGTGGTGACGAGGCTGCTGCGGGGGGGAGGCCCAGGAGGAGCGAGCGACGCCCGAGATCCTCGATACTCTGCGCTCCTCTCCCGCCCCTCTCTCTGTCTCTCTCTCTCTCTCTCTTTCCCTGTCCCTCCCTGTCCCTCCCCGGCGCTCGTACCCCTCATGTGGGACTCGCCATCCCCCTTTTTCATTGTTGCCGCACCCGCGTCGACGTTGAAGATCCCTTTCCCCCCCCCGTCCCTCCCTGCCTCCCTCCCAAGAGGAGCGAGCGACGCCCAGGATCCTGGATCCTCCGCGCTTCTCTCCGCACCCTGGGGCGCGCGCACCCCGGCTATCGGGCCGCGACAGGAGGAGCTCCCAGTGCTGATCGCTGACTCGCTCCCCCTCGGCCAGGCGCCCCCCCCTCCCCTCGGCTGGCTCCATGCGGGCGAAGGGAGGAGAGGAGGGGATGGAGGAGGGGGAGGAAAGAATCGAGCCGAGACCCTCAAACTGCCTAAGGTTTTGCCTGGGACCCCCCCCAAAACAAGGGTGCGGCTCGATGACCAAGCCCTTAAAAGGGAGGCATAGACCCCAGCACCGAGAAGTATTTCGGCCGCAGTATCCCATCAAGAGGAGGTGAGGAGCCGTGCTTGCCCAAACTTTGCCCTGCTCTGCCCGCTCGCTCTCTTTCTCTGCTGCTGGTTTCACATTGTGGGATCATGTAGTCAATGGCTGAGAGGCTGAAAGAGGAGGGGGAGGGAGGAGGCGAGGGAGGCTGGGAGGGAGGGGGGGGAGGAGCGAGGATCGAGGCTCTTTGGCATCTTTGGCTTTTCCTGGGATGTCCATATCCACCACTCCTGCTAATGCATTGTCGAGTAAGCTGTTCAACAGTCGAGAAACTATTGCATTGTCGAGTAGCTACTGCACTGTCGAGTAGCTACTGCATTGTCGAGTAGTTGTTCACGCCACGGTTGAAAGCATGAGTCCTATTGCAGGTCGGCTTATGCGGTGTTCCTGGTTTGCTTCGCGACCTTCTGATTCGCGAGGGTATTGTTGCACCCGTGGATTTTGTGCGAGGGGAAAACAAAACAGTTCATATCCACCACTCCTCGGGGGCCAAGGGCGCGACCGAAGCAATGGACGTCGAAATATTCTGGCGGTGCATGGAGGGGCCTCGTCGGACAGGAGTACCAGTCCATAGGCAGCGTCCATGACATCCCTGTCCTCGTTCATGGGTATCATCGCGCAGCCTGCGCTTTGTCCTCGACGTCGTAGGGACTGCCGTGGACGCAGGCCTCGCCCGTCGAGTACCCCCCCCCCCGGTGGCCTCTGGGGCTTCCACCCTCGGGGAGGCGGAGCTCGGAAGAGGGGACCCCGCGAAGAGCTCGCGCGGCCCTCGTGAGGAGGCGGGGCGCCTCAGGAAGGCGCATGGGCTTCAGCCCTCCCAGCTTCCAGCAAAACCGTCTTGGAAGCCTCCGGGGCCTTTCTCTGAGAAGCCCCTTGCCGTCCCAGAACACCCCCAGCCTTCTCAGGAGGCCGCCCCACCGTCGCCACTCTCGTGTGCGCGTCGCCAACACTGCACGGGGCTCGGCAGAATGGTCTTCGCGAAGAGCTCCCCCGCCGCCTCGCCGCGCGACCGCACCACAGCTGCAGCCCCCACGAGCTCGGGAAGGCATTGATTTCTTCTGCGCGCCGCCGTGCAGTCGCGCGCGAAATATCGGTGTCGCATGTTTCCCCGCGCAGCCGTGCAAAGCTCGCGCCTATCCTGCTCCGCCTTGCCTGCGTCGCAGAGCCTCGCCTGCGTCAGCAGGAGGAGGAGGAGGAGGAGGAGGAGGAGGAGGAGGAGGAGGAGGAGGAGGAGGAGGAGGAGCAGGGAGGAAGAGAATGATGAGGAGAGGCTTGAAAGGCCTCTTCGGGGTGTTGGGGGCCTTTCGAGGCTTCTGGGCGCTTCTGGGGGGCTTCTAAGGGGTAGGCTGACAACGATTTGTTCATTGTTGTTTGCACGTTGAGCGAGCTTTGAACACATGTGTATTTTGCAAGCTATCTGGACCAATCTGTGTGGTGCAACCTGGGTGGTGCAATCTATGCCGTGCAATCTAGGGTGTGCAATCTGTATTGTGCAACAGACACGTCTATATATATATATATTATATAATATATTGTAATGTATATATATATATATATTATATATATATATATATATGTATTCCTGGGGGCGATGCCGGGGCCCCAGGACAGGTGCCCCGACCCCCCATGGCGGGACGGGGGGGGCCTGGAGCCTCCCTGGAGCAGCCCAGGCGGCCCAAGAGTGCCCCAAGAGCGCTCCACGACGGGCCCAGCAGGCTCCAAGAGGCCCAAGAGGGCGCCAAGAGGGCCCCAAGATGCCCAAGATAAGCCCAAGACGGCCAAAGAGGCCCCCAAGACTCTCCAAGAGGCCTCCAAGAGGCCCCCCCAGAGGGCCCCAAGAGGCCAAAATCGTTTATTTTTCGAAGGTTTTGGACACATTTCCGACGCTCCACGACGGCTCAAAGGCCCCTCGCGGACGCCCCAAGACAGCCCAAGAGGCCTCCAAGGGGGCCTCAAGACGGCTCTGGAGGGCCCCAAGACGGCCCAAGACGCGCCCAAGACGGGCGAAGAGAGGCCCAAGACAGCCCCAAGAGGGCCCCAAGAGGGGAACCGCGAACCGGAAATTCGAGCCTCCCGCCTCCACAGGACCCCCGGAGGCCCCTAAGGGGTCCAAGAGGCCCCAGGAGACCCCCAAGAGGCACCCAGGAGGCCCAAACGAGGCTTCAAGAGGCTCCCAAACAGCCCCGAGGAACCTCACAACGGACGGTGCGGACGAGCCGCACTTCGGACCGCCGCCGCCGCCGGTCCAAGAAAGCGGCCTCCTGGACGCCATGCGCGCCGTGGCCCTCCTGCGGTGGCACCTCCCGCCCTTGGCCAGCGCAGAGGCCCTCGGATCCCAGAGAGAATTCTCCGTCGTCGGCGGTGTCGCCGTCGTCGGCGTCGTCGTCGTCGACGCCGTCCCCGCCCCGGTCGCCCCTCGGGTCTTGGGCCGTCTTGGGCGGTTTGGGGGACTCTTTGCGGACCATCTTCGGCTGCCTGGGGGCTTCTTGGAGGCCTCTTGGGGGCCTATGGGGGGCCTCTTGGGGGCATTCTGGATGCTTTGGGGAGCCTTCTTGGGGTCTCCTGGGGCTCTCTTTGGGGAGGCAGGCTGGGAATGTCAGGTCGGGTACCCCTGTGAGCTCTTTCTGGGAGCGGTCCTGAGGCCTTCTTGGGCTGTCTTCGGGGCCTCTAGGTCACTCCTGAACCCCACTTGAGCCGTGTTGGGGCCCTCATGGAACTCTCTTTGGCCGTCTGGTGCGATCTTGGGGCCCTCTGGGACCCTCTTTGGCCGTCTTGGCGCGAGCTTGGAGGCCTCTGGGCGAATATGATCAGAGTGATGGGGGCCGAACGGTCATTCACTGTCCCTGGGTGCGTGGCTGAAGTGGAATTCCGCGGTGCGGATTCTCGTCGTTGTTGTTGTTGTTGTTGTTGTTGTTGTTGTTGTTGTTGTTGTTGTTGTTGTTGTTGTTGTTGTTGCTTGTTGCTTGTTGCTTGTTGCTTGTTGCTTGTTGTTTGTTGTTTGTTGTTTGTTGTTTGTTGTTTGTTGTTTGTTGTTTGTTGTTTGTTGTTGGGAACCTTATTACTTCTAAATAAAATAATATGTTGGGGTTTTTGTTTGAGTGGACCCATGGGCACGGCCCCACTCGCGCGCTAGCCGCAGGCCATGTTTCATTCATTTTCGTGAGGAAAGGTCTCCGGCAACCAAAAGGGGGTTGCGTCCGGAATCCGGTTGTTTTGTTGTAATCCGTTTTCACTTGCAAAAAACAATATAAAATGACATTTCTTGTTCTAATATAATCAAATTTCAAGAATCCCTTGCAAAAAATAAGGTAAAGTGGACCTTCGCGCGCGCAAGACGAAATCCTTCCAAAAGCTTAGTGTTCGGAGCGATTTTAACATAAAAACATCAAAAAACCAATGGTTTTTCAACAAAAAAATGTCAAAATCTCATCCCGCGCGCTCTTGCGGATTCGTAGGAAAACCAACACTTTTTCAACATTTCTGTCAAACGGGCTTTTGCGAGCAACTTTTTCAGTGCTTCGAACTTCTCCAACAAACGTTGCGCACCCTGCCAGGGCCAATTCATCCCTGTCCAAATAATTACCATATGGGACACATTCGTTTTTTCTTCGCGCGCGCACGCCGAAATCTTCAAAAACCATTGGGTTTCTTAGGAATTTTAGCACCGCGCAACATAAAATCATACGAATCGCACCGTAGGTCCTCGAAAAACATCTGTACGAATTTTCAAAATTTCTACCCGCGCGCGCTGTCCGACTCCTAAAAAACCAATGGTTTTCAACATTTATGTTACATGAGCTCGCGCGAGCTACTTTCGCAAGCTCTTTCAACGGCGTTCGCGCGCCTGCCAGTGTAGTAGCCACGGTCGTCCGCAGGCCACGAAGTGAAGTGTCCGAACGTCATAGGGCGGGAAGCTGGGTGTGGGTGGTGGCGAAGAGTCGTTTGGAAATTTGGTAGAGCTTGAACCGGCCCCCCCACAAGGTGGGGGTATTGCCCGCCTCCTATGAAAACCCTGGCACTGGTGAGAACGGAGTGTCCCCACGTGCTAGTAATTGTTGTTGTTGTTGTTGTTGTTGTTGTTGTTGTTGTTGTTGTTGTTGTTGTTGTTGTTGTTGTTGTTGTTGAACATTATTTCTTCTTAAGAAAAATTATTGTTGGGGCCCCTGGTGCATGGCCCCCCCGCCGCGCCTAGGCCGCAGCCTCATTTTCATAATTTTCGTGAGGAAAGTCGCGGCCAAAACGGGTTGGTACGGGCGGTTTTCCCTGCAAAAATAAGGACAAAGGGACATTCTTTCTTGTTCTAATATAATCAAATTTCAAGAATCCCTTGCAAAAAATAAGTTAAAGTGGACATTCGCGCGCGCAAGACGAAATCCTTCCAAAACCTTAGTGTTCGTAGCGATTTTAACATAAAAACATCAAAAAACCAATGGTTTTTCAAAAACAAAGTGTCAAAATTTCATCCCGCGCGCTCTTGCGGATTTGTAGGAAACCGAACACTTCTTAAACATTTCTGTCAAACGGGCTTTTGCGAGCAACTTTTTCACGTGCTTCGAACTTCTCCAACAACGGTTGCGCACCTGCCAGGGCCATCATCCCTGTCAAATAATACCATGCGGGACACATTTGTTTTTTCTTCGCGCGCGCACGCCGAAATCTTCAAAAACCATTGGGTTTCTTAGGGATTTTAGCACCGCGCAACATAAAATCATACGAATCGCACCGTAGGTCCTCGAAAAACATCTTTACGAATTTTCAAAATTTCTACCCGCGCGCGCTGTCCGAAT